CTAAATGATACTAATATTAATTCGTTTATCCATTTGGTGGCTAATATATAAGCTCTATAAAACTTTGAATATAAAATATTAAATTATTAAAAATTTCCCATACCAATACGATGGTAACCAAAAAAGGACACAATAACGAAAGCTTAACATTAGTTGACACCAACTTTGTTAAATCATATCTCCATTGTTTCTTAACCAAATGGGGTTCGTTCTTGAGTCTAAGTTCACATTTTTTAACCGTCTTTGAAATGGTATGGGTCTCATCCCATATGTTTTAGTTGAATTGATCATTTTATCCTTGTGAACCTTTAGGTTCTGAAATGAACCCGAAGCTAAGGTTATCTTAATTCTGTTTATGATCTGAAGTGGTTAGAAATGACCATTATGACCCCAATATGACTTTTATTGCATAGTGTGGAGTCAAATGTTCATTTTGCCCTTGGTGTCCTCTGGTTTCGGTAAAGACCCGGTTAGCACCCCAGAGTTCGGGACGTTACAGTATCTAACCTAAAATTGTGAGAAATGATAAAACTTTCCATTTTTTTTTTAATCTATTCTCCACTCATATTATGAGACTTTCTATCTCACTCATCTCTACTTAATAATACAATTTTTTTACTTGGGTGCCATAAGTTTTTTTAAAGTTACAAAATAGGAATAAAATGATTGAAATATTTTATATTTTTTTAGCATTGGACCAGATTTTTCTAACATTAGGTTTCATTATTCTTAACTTAAATTATTTTGTGACCATTTTTATTTATATTATTGAATATGTCTACTAAAAAGCATGAATTGTAATATGAAAAACTTAAAGGGTGTATTCGGTTGCATGGAATTGGAGCATTGTAATTGGAATTGGTGGAACTCGAGAAAAACAAGTAAGAAAATTGAACCGATTTTTTTTCAAAATTTCACAAATTCTAATTTCAAGGCTCTAATTTAATGTGATACCCCTCGGATCTGAGACACGGGTTGATCAGGCCCAGGCCCAAACCCGAGGGAATATCAAACAATTAAAGTATTTTAAAATGAACACAGATGACAATAAGAACAATAAAGATAGAATAAAACTGAAAGAAACGTTAATTATAAAATCCTCCATGTACAACTGAAAATTGAAACTCCAATCCTCCAAAACTTCAAGGTTACAACTTGGGAATCCACTGATGGACCCCTAACCAAAAGTTCAACTGAAACTGAATACTGAAAATAGATAATGCTAGAAATATCGAGAGAAGTCCTACGTAATCAGATGAAGGTGAGACTGTCCTCGACAAGCACGATCAAGCTCTAAGGCTGGAACCGTCATGTACCTGAAAAGAATAATAAAGGAGTGGGTCAAACCCACGAGCAAGTTCTAATCTAACTGCAATCCATACAGTGACCCGATACGCAGATACACCGTAGACACCTCACCATATCTATCTAATCCATACTTATAAATATATCCACACTAAGGGACATTCACTAGTCTATAATAGGGGTCTCAACCTGAATAGAAGGCAATATGCGAATACACACCCAAAGGTGGGCATAAGTACCTAGACCTAACAGGGTACACCTCAACCTATTATAACCAGCTACGCATTCACTGCATATACGCACCCTAACCAACGAGTCTAAGACTCAAGCTCAACTCGTGGTACCATAAACATATACATAAAGTCCGTCCAAATCCAGGGTATGCAGTTCAACTATTTATTAAACTGACATACAATAAACCAACTAGTTAGTCACTCAACTTATTCAGTTGATATGACTTAACTACCATCCGTTAATCCAGGAAGTCATCCAACTTGGTTACAGCTGATCTGACTTAGCCACAATTAGGATTCGATATCTTTCAATCCATTCCATTAATCCATTAGGTTAGGTTTATGCGTTTTGAGCTAAACCGTCCCTAGTATGTCACCGTCCCATACTGGTACATACAATCCTCCATATCCATGTAAATTACAACATATATAACAATTCAATAATTTACAGACCAAAAACCACCATCCAATACTTGCAGAAGGAATCTTAACAATCTAGCAAATAAAATCCAGTAATAATCCATGTAATTGCATCGGAGAATAAACTATTCTAACAATTAACACCCAACACATGCATAGTTCAAATTTAATGAAACAATGACCCTATCATGTATTTAAAATTAGTTCTATAATAATATTATAGTCCAATAAATCGCTAAAGTAAACTAAGCGATCTAGTTCCCTCCATCCGGTAACAGAATACTAAGTCATATACTTATATTGTGTTGTAACCTTTAGCACAGAGCCCCCACTATGCCACAAGTCCAATATATTACTTTAAAAGACTTCATCGTGCATCAAAAATAAATCTAAAATCATTTTATAGCACCCTAAACCATCAGATTAAAATTAATCAACAAATCTCCTTCCAGCCGTTAACTGTACGCAAAGTTGTCAAATAGCGTACTGTTAATTCCATTTAAACTAAAGGGTAAATTTATGCAATTCAAGACCTTAGTTACAAGTTAAAATTATTATTTAACACCCAACTAAAATTTTAAAATTGATTAATAACCCAGATTGCCTAAATAGTGAACATAGTACGTAGAAAAAATTAAAAAAACTTAAAATAAACCAAAAATAACAAGGGAGCCTGCTCCAGAATTTGGAGCAGGCTCTTTTCCAGCCTAGAGCCGGCTCTAGGACTTCTTAGAGCCAGCTCTACTTTGTTGTGGGAGCCGGCTCCCACTTCCATGGAGCCGGCTCTCACCTCCTTTGAGAGCCTCTGTCCCCGTTGCTTCGTTTCAGTCCGTCCGCTCCTTCTCTGATCAAATCCAACCACTCTGTTGGTCTCTAAAACTAATCTTAGGACTCTTAATTTAGTCTAAAAGCATTCCCCAAGATTGTTTACAATAGTTTTGCAAACAATTACAAAGTTTAATCAAGCCATTTAAACTAGCATAGTTGAAGAACAATACTGAAACTAAATTGCGACATCAGTTTTATCCCAACCCCTCTGTTCTTCCTCCAATTTTAAATTTGAAGTCTTAAATTACATCTAGTATCCAATCAGACCTCGGTTGATTTTAGTAAGATTCAAAATAAAAATTAAATCAGTGAGACGTTACGCCAAAACAGAGTCAAGAAAATATACGTGCTATAATTGTTTTGTAAATAAATTTCACAGATAAAACGATCAAGTAAAACATATATAAAACATGCATGGTTCACTTTAAGGCCAATTAATCTCCTAGAGATGTCCAGGTGCACAGAACACAAATCAAAGGGAAGGAGGAATATAAGAACTTGCCTTTAAGTTTCAGACTTGAAACTCTAAATTCCCAGTTCTGTATTGCCCGTTCAATTTCCCCACTGTTGCTCCACAAACCTACGTTTCTTCTACCTTGCTTCCACCTATCCTTCCTCTCCTATCTCTCTCTATTCTCCCTCTGTATCCTACGGTCTCTGTTGTTTTTACAGAAATTACGTTTAATTATTTTCAAACCCTAAACCACCGTGACACACATACTTATAGGCTTAGTGATTAAACCCTAATCCATGTAACCTTAAAGCCAGAGTCCATCTCGGCCCATAAACCGACCTAAGATAAATACCTACGTCGGCCACCTAAGTAAAAATTGCAACCCTAAATTCACGTAAAGAACCAGAAAACTAAATTCCCTTAAATTTAAATTTCCATTAAATAAAATTGATTAAACAATTAAATAAACACAATTAAATAAATAAATAAAATTATATAAACAGTTACCAAAAACATATTAAGTAACATGACTGATTAAACAAATAAACCATTAAACAATTAATTAAACCAAATAATGCACATACAACCAATTTAAATAATTGAAAAACAATAAAATAAATAAAAATGCGATTAAGACAATAAAATAAAGAAAAATGCAATACAATAAATATTAAAAATGCCGAGACTATTCTTTTAAAATTAGGAGTATTACATTTAATGCAGTCGAATAGACCCAAAAAGAAGAGGAGAATAGATAAATTACCAATTCAATCTTAAAAAGTAGCTCTAGATCAATTTGTTATAATAAATAATCAAAATATACCAAAAAAATTAGGAGAAAATTCAACAAATGAAGAAACAAGTCATCTAAAAAGACCAGAAGAATATAGCTAGAATAGTGAAAGAAAAAAATATTATATATTAATATATATATTATATTGTAAGAGGTCAAAAAAAAAAATTCCCGTTTTACACCTCAAATTATATTAAGCCGGAACATTAACCCAAGTTAAAGACTTGCAATCTTACTTATAATGGCGTGGACAGTGAATTGAAGCAGAGATATTTATGCATACGGTAGTGATAGTAACAAAAAATAAATAATATATATATATATATCAAAAAAAAAAAAAAAACTGCCAATAAGATTATGAAGTATGAACATAAACAATCTCTCTATCTATATATAATATTCTTGAATTATGCATCGGATACCTTCTTTTCAACATCTCTCCCAAGTTTAATAATGAACTCATTAAAGTTGAGATGACAATTCATACTTTAAATAAAAGTTTTTTTTAAAAAAAAAAATTTTCCGTAAGTCAATGCATTTTGTTGGTTTCTCAATGATAATATCTTTGGTTGTTTTCTCAATTAAAAATGCACTATCATGGACCTGGTGATTGCAAAAGGTCATGGTGAAGTTATTTATAAAAAAAATTCTTCCCCTAAAATTTGATAAAATTTCAAAGAATGTCATTATAATTCAACCAAATATTTCATAAAGTGTAGAATTTTTCACCATAATTTGTGTCAATGGACCCACAAGTACAATTATTTGACTTTGGAGGACATAAGTGAACTGCTACCATTGTTAAAGATGGGAGCCAAATTTTAGTGGACCAGAATGAATCAATGAATTATATAGACGTCTTTAGTTGATTAAGTAAACTCAAATCATTTTGATTTATGTGTGTGTCTATATATATATATATAATCATTTTGATTTATGTGTGTGTCTATATATATATATATATAATCATTTTGATTTATGTGTGTGTCTATATATATATATATATATTGAAGGGTATTGTCTACACGACAGCTCGTGTACGAAGAACATTATATAACTTGCCTCTCTCATTCCATTTCTTCTTTCAATGTTTACTTTTGTTATCTAACTCAATTTCAAAGCGTAGTCAAGAAAGTCAGTATTTGGTTTATGCGGAGAACTCTAAGCCTATTTTGGTATAAGGTATGTTTTAATATATATTTTGTATTGTCTGAAATAGCTTTTCCTATTATGTTTTGTGTTGCCCATGGACCAGAATTATTTATCATTGTTTTCAATATGCTTATTGTTTAATATATATATAGAGAGATATATAGATATATGCTATAATATTTGATGAGCTTGGCACGGCTCTGTACAGATTATGAATTAGTAGTTATCTATATCATGTATACATTAATTCAACTTCAATGGTGACATCATGATATGGATCTTTCTTAGAACCAAACTCTGGTTTCTATTTTAGTTCATGCTTGAGCATAAATTGCTTTATATTTTAGTAGTTATCTATATTTTTGTTTTTGGTTAGCTTATCTACTTATTTGGATGGTTGCAGTATATCTAATTGTTTACTTTATCGAATATATACATTATTGCACTGATAAAACATAATTGATTTATTGTTTCTTTCTATAGGTTACTGTTATGTTTAGAATACCTAAGTAATAGTTTTATTTGCATAACTTATTTCTAGTTTGACTAATTTTTTAGTGGGTCATTTTAAATTAGAAAGAGATTGTGTTTGATTTATTTTTCTGAAGATCTCTCATTCTGAAAGTTAAACAGTACTTCCGAGGGTTACTCTTAAATAGAAAATTCATAGGTTTTTCTTTTTCCTTTTTATTTTATTTTTATTTTTTTATTCCTCCCCCTTTTAACTGTTTATTCACCTTATCCCAATTACTTCAAATTATTCTTTTTTAAATAGAAAAAATTACCTTCCAATAGGATTCATACAATGATTTTTATTATTATTTTTTTTCCTTTATTACGGTTAGTAATTGAAATTCCTATATCATTTGAAGTTTTCCATAATTGATTCACTAAGATGTTCTTCGTAAATAGAAAAATTACGTTTTCAATAGGACTCACATATTATTTTTTTTTTCCTTTTTTAATAGTTAAATCGAAATATTTTAAGTCATATGTACTTATTAAAATTCATGTCTTTTAAGATAACTAATACAACTTTTCACAAACATACCAGTAGTCTAGCAGTACTAAGTCCTTGTTTCTTATAGAGAGGTCAAGAGTTCGAGTCTCATTCTTTTAAAAGTTAATTCCTTCTTCCTTTCTAAACCTTGAGAGAGATTATACAATTTAAAACAATTGACTTCATTAAAAATTACTTTAATAAAATAACCTTTATCCCTTTTTGAAGAAAAAAAGATCAATTTTAAATTAATTCATTCTTTCTCTCTAAACCTTTGAAGTTCTCTCTTTACCTTTTCTTAAAAGCATTTCTATTTTTTTTTCCATAATCTTAAAAAAGTCTAACATGATACACTTGGACTGGTTGTTATAATAAAAAAGGTCGAAAATGTATGAAAAGGCAACGTTAGTTATTCATTTTATTGATTTCTTATTACTATATTTGTGTGCTGGAAGTATTCACTTTTCTTTATATATAAATAACTTCAAAATAACCTAAATATTAATCATGTTAGTGGATATTAGCCTTTTGAGTGTTACTGTAATACTATCATGATGCATCATGTTTTTATTTCTCTATTTATTTATTATTTTTTTTTTTGGTCACTCTTTTACAAAATTAGCTATTTATTAAAATTTCTAAAAGGTATCATTTAGCCATTTATTAAAATTTCTAAAAAGTACTATACCTCATTTCAATAAACTAAATCATTTATTCTTGTTTTTTGTAATTTGTGGGTCATTGAATACACTACTTAAGTGATACAAATTTATCACTTTTATTTTTTATTTTTTATTTTTGAGAGTTTTGATTTTATTTTCCTAATTTCTAATTATCATTTTCTTTTCCATATCATTAAATTTTCCTAGAATTTTCATCATCATCTTAAATTACTTTATACTTACTTATTATGTGAAACAATTCAATGAGACACGAAAGTTTCGTCAATCTCATTATAACTTAAATCTATTTTTTTTATAGACTTAAATCTATATATATATATATTTATAATACTAACGTAATTATGTTTATATCCTTGATAAGAATAGGTTGAGCAAACTATAGTGCTAATTTCATATAAAAGGGGATAAAAATTACAAGCGAATATAAAATTTATACTTTACAATTTAATTTTTTTGATCACCTTGTAGTTAATAAAAATCTTCTATTATGTTGACTTATATGTGTACTCTTTTTATGAATTAAATATTAAAGCATTTATTAATGTCTTGAATAATTTATTTTTCAATGAATATATAAAATGCAGAAAAACTTGTAATTAAAAAAAATATCATCATTTTTGTAAGGTAGACCGTTTAATTAGGCACATAGATTTTATATGGATCACCAACTCAATTTACTTTATATTTTCTATTATTAGATTATTAGATGTAACAAGATTATGTTTGTAAGATAGACCATTCAATTAGACACGTAGATTTCATATATCTTTATTTACTTTATATTTTCTATTATTAGGTAGAATCATTCAATAAGACACTATAATAGACGCGATAAATTGAACGCGTATTATAGAAATAGTTATAAAAATATGTCATCTAACCAAAGAGACAACAATATTTGAAATGTAAGAAATTCAATAAAAAAATAAAAAAGAGTGGCAATTGACATGGTATGTCTAAGATGATAGAGTTCAACAAATGTATACTTGTTTAACTTCCAATACTTTTAACCCACTTTTTATGCAATACTTTTATAATGATACAACTATTATTTATTTATACATGTTAGCCTTAATTACGTGCAACTGCACGTAAGAATTTCTAGTGTGTGTGTATTGAAGGGTATTGTATAGTAACATCTTTTTTATTTCTATACCGATGTGAAAAGTGATGAGTTTTTGCCACAAAACTTAAAAAAAAAAAAAAAAAAAAAAAAAAGAAAAAAAGAAAAAAAAGAAAAGAAAAGGAAAACAAGAACAAGAACAAGAACAAGAACAAGAATAGAAAACAAAAAAAAAAAAATTTAAGGGTAAAGTACAGTAACACTTTCTGAGATTTGTCAAAAGGACACTTAGAGAAAAGTTTGTCTATTTTGGGACAATGACACCCCCTCAAGTTTGATACATCTACCAAAGACACCCCAATGATAATAAATTGACATTTTAACCCTTTGACTTTTATATTGACTAATTTAAATGCTGAAATGACATTTCTAACCCTCATCAGAATTTATTTCCCTCTCTCCTCTCTATTTTCTCTTCCTCAGCCACCAACACTAATACACCCTATCACACATATACACATACATAAAAAATAAAAGTGGAGTATTTAAATATTGTTACGGCACAATCATAACAAATGTCCTAATGCATTCAATAACCAAAATCCATATTTTGTAGATATAATTTTTCAAGTCTCATAGAATTTGACAAACACTGCAGATAAAAGGGATTGGACATAAATATTGAAAAATTTAAAACCAAAGTCAGAAAAATTACATCTATAAAAACAATGAAAATTTCGAAACAACTTGTATCATCAAATCAACCCACCAAGTTATTTGGAGAATTTAATAACTATAAAATGACCAAAAGTTAAAACTTGGTTATGCTCAAGGAACACATCAAGGTAAAGATTTTATTTTATTGATTTAATGATTTTTTTCAAGACTATAATGACCCTTATAAAAAAATGATGCATTAATACTCATTTAATAAATAATACATCAATTACTTGATATTTTATTATTTATCAAGTAATAAAATAATAATGTGTGACAATGTGTATATATGTGTGACACTGTGTGTTGGTGTTGGGGGCTGAAGAAGAGAAAATAGAGAGGAGAGAGTGAAAGAAATTGTTATGGGTATTGGAAAGGTAATTTTAACATTTAAATTAGTTAATATAAAAGTCAAAGGGTAAAAATGTCAATTTATTATTATTGGGGTGTATTTGATAGATGTATTAAACTTGAGGGGATGTTATTATCTCAAAATAGATAAACTTTTCCTTAAGTATCTTTTTAGCAAATTTTAAAAAATGTTACTGTACTTTATCCAAAATTTAAAAAAGACAACACAACTATGAAGTATGATCACAAACAACTTCTCAGTCAGGGTTGGACTAGGTGTGTTGGTGATAATATTTGCGTGCGTGGAGTATGATCACAAACAACCTCTCAATCAGGGTTTATGTGTGTGTATATATATATATTTTGAATGTATTATCTTGTAACTTTTCTATTTCTGTACCATTGTGAAAAGTGATGACTTGCCTCACAAACGAGAGTGTGAGTTTTTGCCCAAAAAAAACCAAAATTTAAAGAGACAATAGGACTATGAAGTATGATCACAAACAATCAGGGTTGGACTAGGTGTGTTGGTGATAATATTTGCTTGGTTCAGATCCATCGTTTGGAATGAACACAAACAAACATTTTCTTATTATATAATTAATTATAAGGGATTTTTGCAACCATATGTTCTTTTCAACATCTCTATATTCAACCATTCAAGGCTGTTTACTGGTCCCGAGTGTACAAATGAACACAGCTCATTCATGTCCTTCAAAGTTGAGATGACAAGCATTCATTGGCCTTCCACTGCCACGTACAGCTTTCATATTGTCCTTTGTATAAGGACTTCCTAAAGGGAATGCATCTCTAAAGTACCTAATAAATTTGAGATGACAATTCATGCTTCAATCTGTCCCACAGGGACCTTGGCCTTCCACTGCCACAGCTTTCATATTGTCCTTGTATTTGTTTAATTACACTCTTCAAAAGTTCAAAGAGTTCCTAAAGGGAATGCATCCTTAATTAATTAATTAATTTATTTATTTTTTTCAGAACAGATATATAGGCCTTAAAATAAAGAGTTTGAAATTAAATTTAACCTTAAAAACTTATTAAAATTTTAAATTTGGACCATTTTAGCTCTTGAAAGAATAAATACTGTGAAACAAAATTTAAGTTCATTCTAATTATAGTCCTTACCTAAAAATATATATAGCAACACTTTTAATTGTAACTTGCTAAATGATAATTTGTATGACTACCTTCTTCTATTATAAGTTACTAAAGTAATAATTTTGTATTGTTAAAACTAGTGAAATTTTATTTAGTTAAAATTATTTTGTTTCTTAATCTATCATCAATAGAAATGATATATATTTTTAAGAGCAAAATCAAAGTATTCAAAACGTCTTTTAAAAAATTAAAAATTGATTTAGGTTGCATATTTTTTTTTCAATTTTTAGACTTGTTTTTAAAATATGTGTACTATGACTATATATTATAAACAAAATTATATTACAGTTCGTTTACAAAAATTTTAAAATTTTAATTACATAATTTGCCCCTTAAATAAATTCCTGACTCTTCCTTTGACAATTTCATAGATTAATTTAACTTTGTATGGTTTCTAATAATTTATTTGCCAATTTCTGTGAAGGCCAGTCCATATAATTATCTACGCACAATCATCCAGATATTGGAACAGTGTTCCCTACAAATGTCAGTAACAAAACAATGTAGTCATGGTTGGTTGACAATTAAACAAAATACCATCACTGCGTCTGAAGACGAAATGAAGTGCTGAGAAGGGAAGCTAGTTAGCACGCAAGCATGGCCTCTGCTGCAGTAGAACTTTTGATCGGCAAGATAGTTTCCGTCATTGAGAACGAAGCATCGTTGATTGAAGGAGTTCATGATGAACTCAACGACCTCAAGAATGAGTTACACTGGATGAGTTCCTTTCTGCAGGATACTAATAAAAAGAGAGCTATGACAGAAGTAGAGAAATCCTGGGCGGAAGATGTGAGAGGCATGACCTACAGAGTTGAAAACGTCATAGATGAGTATATGTATCACTTGAACCAGCAACAAGGTCGGGGTAAATTAAAAAGAATCTTCGATGATACTATTGGCATTCCAAAGAATCTCGGGGTGAAGCGCCAAATAGCCACTGAGTTACAGAATATCAAGAGAATGATGAAGGAGATTCCCGAAAGAAAACAACGTTACAGTGTTGTCGATCCTACGGAAGAAACAAGCTCACATGACGATCAGAAATGGATGCAAAACCAGGCTGAATCTGCTCTCTTCTTTAAGGATGAGGATCTAGTCGGGATTGAAGCTGATAGACAAAAATTAGTCAGATGGTTGACGGATGGCGAACCACAACGCACTGTTATTTCAGTAGTGGGAATGGGCGGTTCAGGCAAGTCCACCCTTGTTGCCAACGCCTACAACCATGGAAATGTCAAGCGAATTTTTCATTGCTATGCTTGGATCACTGTCTCACAAACTTACGACATTGAGGACTTACTTGGGCGCATGATTAAGGAGTTCTTCAACACATCACAGGAAGCAGTTCCAGAGGACTTGAGCAACATGGAATACAAACACCTGGTCGAGCATCTGTCAAAATACTTACAGCCAAGAAAGTATGTAGTTGTTCTGGATGATGTATGGGACGGTGATGTATGGAAGTTCATAAAATATTCACTTCCAGATGAAGGACTTGGAAGTCGTGTTTTGGTTACAACTCGGAGAGAAGATATAGCTTCATCTTTTTCTGAAGTTAAAAGCTACGTCCACCATCTTAAACCGCTACGAATGACGGATGCGTGGCACCTCTTTTGCATGAAAGCATTCTCAAGCAATCCCAACAACAATTGTCCTCAAGGACTCGACAACTTAGCTCGGGGCCTCGTCAAAAAATGTGATGGTTTACCTTTAGCAATTGTGGCTTTGGGTGGTGTCATGTTTTCCAAAAAATTAGAATGGGAGTGGAAACAAGCTTATGATGGCTTAAACAACTCTATGTTGAGCAACAACACTGAGTTAGAAAGAGTGAAAAACATCTTGCAGCTTAGCTTCAATGATTTGTCTTACCGGCTTAAGTGTTGCTTCTTATATTGTAGTCTTTTTCCTGAAGACTATCTGATCAAGAGAAAGCGGCTCATTAGACTTTGGATGGCAGAAGGGTTTATAGAAAAGGTGAAGAAGACAACACCTGAGGATGTATCAGAGAATTATCTTATGTCACTCATTAACCGAAGCCTGCTTCAAGTTGTGGAGAGGAATCCAACGGGAAGGCCAAGAAGATTTAAGATGCACGATCTTATGCGGGAGCTTGCTATATCGGTATCAGAAAAAGAGAAGTTTTGCACAGTACTCCATGATGGTAGTACAAGTACTGATGACAGTGATAAAGAAGAGAACGGAGTGCGTCGGTTGTCAATCAAACAAGGTGACAGAGAACTACTTAAATCATGGAAGTGTATGTCTCATCTTCGCTCTCTTTTTGTTTTTGTTGTTAATGCGATTTCTCCATCTTTGAGTACTACATTGCCATCTGGCTTAAGACTACTAAGAGTCTTAGATCTGGAAGACGCACCGATTGTGAAATTGCCAGATGAACTAGTTCATCTTTACAATTTGAGATATTTGAACTTGAGAAGAACTAAGGTGAAGGAACTTCCAAAGTCCATTGGAAGACTCCACAATCTTCAAACCTTAGACTTGAGAGATTCAGAGATAGAAGTGCTTCCATCTGAAATTACCAAGTTACAGAATTTGCGGCATCTAATTATGTTCCGCTACAATTCAGAACGTTCATGGGACTTTGATCTCCTTTATGAGACACCGTCACCGTCAAATATTTGTAAGCTAAAAAACTTGCAAGTGTTGTATCTAGAAGCAGGGATGTTGAAAGAAGCGAGGAACATGGCCCAACTCACAACTCTTGTCATTACGAAGGTGAGAAAAACAGATGAGGAAAACTTGTGCATCTTAGTCGAAAATATGAAACTTCTTCGCAGCTTATTCGTGAGGGTAATTGAGGAAGAAGAACACCTTCGAATGGATGCACTCTCCTCAGCTCCGCCCCGTCTTAGCAGGCTTGTTTTATTTGGAAAGCTGAAGAAGGTGCCGCATTGGATTCACTCACTCCAAAACCTCACATTTTTGTGTTTGCTTTGGTCCAGGCTGAGAGAAGACCCACTTCCATACATCCAAGCACTGCCTAATTTAGGGAAGCTTGTGCTTCACAATGCCTACATGGGAACGCATTTATGCTTCGATACAGGTTTCCACAAGCTTAAATTTCTATTCTTGGTATATCTCCCTCAACTGAGTGAGATAACAATAGAGAAGGGAGTGATGCCAGGTCTCCAACACCTGACTCTACGTGCATGTGAGGGGTTGAAGATGTTGCCTTATGGTGTCGAATATCTCATGCATCTCCAAGAATTGATTTTGGAAATAGTTCTGCGTGAGCTCATAGATCGAATACGTGGAGAAGAGAGCGTGGATCGCCCAAAGGTTAGACACATCCCCGTGATCAAACATATCTTCCAGTCCCAAAACAAACGGTTTTATGAAATCTTGTCCTGATTTGATCTACTGCAAGAAGGTAACACGTTTTCGTTTTGCATGTTATGTGTTTCATTAAAAATCAGTATCCATTTCTTTCCTTATTGTCCCCTGTATCATTTGGACATAACTTGTCTTGGTACTACGTCCATCTCATGCATGAAGGTAACTAAAACTTTTGTGTCACTCTGTACGTGAACTAGCTTGTAGTTTCTTAAATCAATCACTGAGTGGGTTTTCTTACAAGTTTGTGACATATTTATAATCAAATACTCATTGTGGATTGTTCTTATTTCTTCTTGGTTGTAATGTCGGCGACCTATGGATGCATATGACTACTTAGTACATCGATCTGGTGTTATATGAAATAAAAGATCGCTACCTGCTTAATTTAGCTGTTGTTGTTGTCATGGTTATTAATGTTGTAGTTGTTGTTGATGGATAATTAAGAGTAGGGGTGGCAATTTTTACAGCCCCGTCCCACCCCATTCCGTTAAAAACGGATATGGGAACAATTTTTATGCTGTTAGAGCGGGCATGAATACAAATTTTATACCCGTCGCGGGTCATGGGACTGGTTAGAATTCTTATACATATCCATCTGGGCATATAACTATATATATATATATATATATATATAAAACATTAATAACTTATTTTACCGACTTATCCCGTTACCCATTTCTTACAATCCTAATTTCTTAAGTCTTATGTGGGAACTGAGCGGCGCATCAAGGGAAGACAGAGAGAGTCAAAACTTAAAAACCAAACCCTCGACCTCAAACCCTCTCCCTCACTAGTCTCTGTTTCTCTTGCAGCAGAGGCACACTAGAGTCAAGTTAATTAAACACAAAGTGGGCAATGGAAGGAAACTCACTTTTGGTTTGATAATTGGTGTCATGCAGGCCTCCCTTCCACAGCTACTCAACTTCATTCATTGACAACTCTCTCATTGCTAGATTTGGTACTGTCGACCAATTCATCAATGGTGCTTCCTGGTCCTTTCCACCTGCTATACTATTCCTTATACCTGCCGGCCTTATCGTCCATCTCCCCTCCCAACCCCTCAACTAAAGATATAATTGCTTGGTCGATCACCATCTCCCACACGCAAATTCTCCTTAAAACACACCATTCTTTATCTTTCTTACCCCCATCACCAAATGTCAACTGGGCTCACCTAGTTTGGAGAACTCTAGGGTGGTAAAATGGGTCAGGAACCATCAACCCGCCCATATTTGCCCGTCTTTTAATGATTATAGGTGAACCATATTTAATTTGGGGGTCAAGATAGGTTGGGTAATTTTAACAACTTAATTTGAGGATCAAGATGGGTTGAATATGGTTAACCATATTCAACCCATATTTCACCCATCACATAATAAACACACAACATACATCTATTCTATATTACACTCAACTCATTTCTCTCTCTCATAATCTTCTCTCTCTAAATTTGTCTCTTATCAATCCCCTCTCTCTAAATTTCTCTCTCTAGAAAGTTCTTTTAAAAACAATTAATAATTAAAAAATAAAAAACAAAAAAATTTAAAACCATTCGAAAAAAATAATTTAAAAATAAAAAATAATAATAAATTTTAAAAAATAATAAATAATTAAAATAAATAAATAAATAAATTTTAAAAAAAATTACTATTATAATGTTGGGTGGCCCCATTTCCACCTTCCTCCTACCCCTCTGCCCTCTCACGTTATTCATTACCTTAGCCATTTGCATAGCAGCATAATTTGTTAAATAAGTACATAAACATAACATTTTCAATTTAAAGTATTCAACTTTTTATTTTTGAAATAAATTAACATTATACACATATGATGAGAAGTTAAGCATTAAATAATATTTTTTTTATTTAAAATAAAAACACTATGACAAAGTAGTAGTTTAACTCTTATATTATATAAAAGTCATTATAAAAAAAATTAGTATAATTACCTAATAACAATGCATGCATCATTTAAAAAAAAAAAAAAAAATTAATCCACCTACTTATAAAATTGCCGATAAGAAATTAACCCACCCAAACACAGTTATCTGCAATTTTATAAATATGTCACTTTTTTTTTTTTTTTAAATGCTCCCCTTAAAGGGAACACATGTATGTGCTTTAAACTTTTATTTTATTTTTTTTTATTTATTAATTTTACTGACACCCCCTCAGGTTTAGCCAAATATCACTCTCAAATATTTTTCGAAAATAACTATCACTTAGGTCCATTTATATTTTTTCCGTTAAAATCACAATTAAAAACATGAAAAAAGACAACTTTGTCCTTAATTTTTTAATCTTATTTATTTCAAAATATCAAGTTATTTAAATGACAATTATGTCCCTCATGTATCTATATATATATATATATATATAGGGTTAAATTCATTTACTTACATTTTTCCAACTGCTTTTGCGCTCTCTCCTCTCTCTCTCTCTCAAAACTCTCTGTGCAAACCCATTTCTCTCTCTTCTCTCTCTCAAAACTCTCTGCAAACCCATTTCTTTCTCTAAAATCTCTCTCTACAAACCCATTTCTTTCTCTAAACTCCCTCTCGGGCCCTCATCTGCTCTCTCCGGTCTGCGTTTGTCATGCCCTTTAACTCTCCAATAATGACAAAAGAACAGATGAAAAGAATATATTTTATATGTGAAACCCGCAACTGGTCTGCGTTTGTCTTCGCTGGACTCAACCTGGGTTGTCTTCCATACCACCACAATAATGACAAAAACAATATATATATACGTCAAACCTGTTTTTTAATTTGTATATTTTTTCTTCGATTGTGCCACATCATCATGCTTATTAGCCCTTGATTTTACCACTGCTACTGAGTAATGGCACCCAAAGTGGAACAAAGGCCGTGTGTAAAAAACCTAAGAACCATTATATAGCTAAATGAAGTACATACACAACTTAGCCAGGTTCTAGAGGCAAATAAGAACTGCACTGATAGAAGGAACTTCTAAGTTACTGTTTTCTCTACAGGAGTATAAATGGAAAATTTTGCCCTGTTTCTCATGTAACAGGGTGTCAGGGTAGGAACTTATATGGAAGATAAACTGAAAATGGTTACTATCTAGAATATAAGAAAAGAAAAAAAAAACATAATAATTCATTAAATTAAAATGAACGAAAGATCGATACAGATCGAAAATTAGTCACATGTCACATGTGTATTTTAACAACATAGAGAAGGAAGCTGAGTTGTCAAATAATTAACCGGAAAAATATAAAGGATAATTTACTTATAAAGAAACTCAAATAAAGAAGAAAATGAGTTAACGGGCAGTCACAAACGCAGACCAGTTGGCTACTTTTTGGTGGATATATATGTATATGTTCAAACAAAATGGGTACGTGTGTGTGTATATATATATACATTTATACACACACACATATATATATATGTATATAGGGTAAAGTGTATTAAACCCCCCTGAACTATTGGGGTATGTGCAAGAAACCCCCCTGAACTATAAAAGTTGCAAAAAACCCCCCTGAACTATTGGGGTATATGCAAGAAACCCCCCTGAACTATATATTTTTTTGCAGTTTACCCCATCCACGTGAATTGATTGACTGAAAGGGACAATGAAGCAGAGGAATTTGTTCCTGGGATCGGTGGGTCTCCTGTCATAGCTCCATCATAGCCGTTGCACCACCTGCCAGATCCGTCGGCCATATATATCGCACTTCTCTGCACCATTGCGTCAGCCCATCGCCGTCACTGCCTTGCCCGCCATTCAGCTCACCTTGCTCGCCGATCCATTCCACTGTCCATTTCAATCTCGCCGGCCCATTCTGCCATTTCCATAGCCGAGCACACCGCCATTCGTGTTTCAAGCACACAGCCGTCCACAGTTCACTGCTGAGCCCCATTGAGCTCGTCGCCGCCTCCACAATTCACGGTCGAGTCAACCGAGCTCTCATCACAGCCGAGTCCTCCACACACAAGCCACCATCATTCGAGACCGAGCCTCGGATTTTCTCCTCTCTCTCTCCAGCTCTCAGTTTTGGGTTGTGTTGGGTGACAAGTATCTTTTGGCAGAAAAAAAGAAGAAATAAGAAGTGTATAAGTTAAAACGACGCAGTGTGTTATAAGGGTAAACTGGTCTTTCAAAATTTTCGGTGCCGGAAGCTAATGTCATGGGGGTAAATTGTAACAAAATCATAGTTCAAGGGGGTAAATTGCAACAAAGTCATAATTCAGGGGGGTTTTTTGTAGTTCAGGGGGGTTTATTGCAAATGACCAATAGTTCAAGGGGGTAAATTGCAACAAAATCATAGTTCAGGGGGGAATTTTGTAGTTCAGGGGGGTTTCTTGCAAATGACCAATAGTTCAAGGGGGTTTAATGCACTTTACCCATGTATATATGGATATATAGATTTAGGGATGTTTTAGCTTCTTTAGGTTAAAGAGTTGTTTTGAAAAAGTCAAAGAGTATTTAAGTTATTTTATATTGTGTCATAATTGTGCAAGTAATAGTTGGGATGTAAGTGAAAAACGGAGCAAAAGTTTGTAATGTGAGTGATAGTTATTTTCGAAAGATGCTTGAAGGTGATATTTGATCAAACTTGAAAGCGTGTCAGTGAAATTAACCAATTTTTTTTAATTATAAAATAATAAAGCAATAATAATAATCAAACTACTCCAAGCTCATTTCACACCCATAGTTGATAAATCTTAATTTCATAAATTGGAGGGAAAAAAAACCCACACCACCAATCATAAACTCTTTCAATTAGAAGTAATTAATAAACTGTAACTTCATAAAGTTCCAAGGAAGAAAGAAAAGGTAAAGAAGCGAAATTACAGTGCCCAAAACATAAACTCTATTTTTAATATTCAACATCTCCATTCCCAATTCACAATTCACACCATATATATAAACCCTTTCCGTAATTGAAAAAACCCTAAGGAAGCAAAATTAGAGTCCCAAACACTTTGATGACATTACCACCCTCATACCTCCGTCCTCCTCATAGACCTCCTGATGATGAAGGTTGAGGCCCTTGAGGCTCCTGTCTCTGCTTGGCTATCCATGTCCACCACCGGATTGTTTCAACTGTTATGCCAACACTTGTTTGATCTGTGTCTTAATTGTTCTACTTTGTTCCGTGTTTTGGGCCTATTATTTTGGGCCACTTTACCTTCTAAAGCTTTCTTTTTGTTGCCAAAATGGGCTTGGTTTGCCCTTATTCTTGGGCTGAAATAAAACTACTATCAATGCAATGTCATGCTATATAAGGAGGGATAATCTTGGTTTGGGCCGGGGTGGG